AAAAAAAAAAAGACACTCGATGAAGAAATATGTGACATGGAACGAGAATCTTTTTGTGAAAATGCTTGGCATGCCTCTTCCTTCCGAAAAAAAAAAAAAGAAAAAAAAAAGAAACAGAAAGTAGATTTTAAAATTGAAATCGTGGCTGCGCCCTAGTTATTACCCCAGCTAAAAAAAAGAATCAGATACTTTTAGCGATTTGTTTTTACTTTTTAAACAAAATGAAAAAGAAAAAAAAGGGAAAAAAAAATCCTGCTAAGAGAAGATATAATCCCGATCCCGATCCAGCGATATGGATGGTTGCTCTTTGTTGAAACCAGAACAGGGGCAAGGTCCCATCATTAGCGAAAAAAAGCTGTTTTGTTGGATTAAAGCCTGAATCTGGACGGGATTGTGGCGAGGTGCAGAAAATAGCGACTGATCTACGTTTTCTGCATATCTATCACAATCGCATCCACCCTTAGGGCATACTCACACTAGGACTTTTTTAATTGTTTCTGGAGGTGATTGCGGTTCGATACATCCAAGTAGGGCCGTAATTACGGTCAGATACGCTTAAGATTGTGCTACTGTGAGTATGCTCTTAGAGCGGATTAATGAACATCTATAGACGGGAAAAATGATGAGCCTGCGTTCTTTTTTGTTTATAGTTAATTAATTAATTTGTTTATCGATAAGCCTGCGTTGTGTTCAGGGAAAGACAGTAATCGATTTTTTAACTCGAAAAAAAAACGACAAGAAGCAGGATTTTTTTTTTTTTTTTTTTTTTTTTGTGAGGCAATTGCAGTCGGGGCATGAAAATTCAGATCAGACGATAGACCACGATTTAAAAATATATATACACATATACATGGATGATGATCAACATTATATGTGTTTTCTAAAAAAATATTTAAAAAAATGTGCTTGTGGTGCAGTTTCCACGTGGCAGTCTCTCTGAGTCTCCAGGATCCCAGCCGAGTTCCCCGGGCAAGAATGGCTCCTGCGCGGACCGGCCGCGTGTCCCTCCTGGTCCGGATCTTGACTATGTGGCTCTTCGCCTGGAACGGTATCTCGACTGGGGCGCCGGGACATCCCGCAGCAGTCGTTGCTGTCCCTCTTGTTTCTGCTGGTTGTGATGGGGGTCGCGGTGGTGCTCGTCCCGATCCCGGCCGCTCGCCTGAAGAGAGACTGCGAGGTGCTCTGCAGGACTCGAGCGTGAAGTCGTACACGCTGACCGAGAACGTCGTGCTGACTCAGACCTTGCCAGCTGTCAGTCGGGACCTGACGCTCAAGGGCAGGTGTAAGGCGAGAAACGGAAGGCCCACGGCTTGCGTCATCGACGGTCGGGATCGCGTTCGCGGACTGTTTGCGAGCAACTGCAAGCTCAGCCTCCTGAATCTGCACCTGACCCGTTTTCTGGTCACAAGGGCGCAGAACGTGACGGATTTCTACGAGGACCAGGAACATTTCGGCGGCGCAGTCTATTTTAAGAACACCTCCCTGTCCATCGCCAACTGCCTCTTCTCTCTTAATCGAGCCAAGGTCGGCTATGGCGGGGCCTTGGCGGGGATTGCCTCGCGGGTCGCGATTGCGCAGTCGCGATTCGAAAAGAACCGCGCGGACAATGACGGCGGGGGAATGTTTCTCTGGAACGTGCGCGGGAGTGTGGTGGGGACCACCTTCGCTTCCAATTCCGCCGCCGGCAGCGGAGGGGCCATTGCCACCATTGGCGGACTGGCGCTCGCTATTCGGAACAGCGCCTTCACGCGGAACTCGGCGGGGAAGACCGCCGGCTCTCTCAATATCGCTTCTAATATCGAGCCCTCTGTAATTACTTCATCCTCGTTCTCTGCCAACGTGGCAGCACAGGGGGGGGGCGCGATTGGCGTGGTACTTAGTCGCGATGAAGACGACGACGACTCCGTCCATATCTGCTGGCCGACCTTCCGGGGGAACAAAGTTGTTGACGTCAGCGGCGCCGCCAGCTCCAACGTGAAAGTTCAGGTGTTCGATCAGGAAGGGACCGTCTACGAGCAAGTGCATTTCTGTAAGGCTATCCCGACAGGGGTATATACCAACAGACCGGACAACGTGGTCGTGGGTTGTAGCCGTTGCCGCCGCTAAGACATAGGAGACAAGGGGGTAGGAGGGAAGGGGTAGGGGCGGGG